ACTGATAATATGGACCATTATAACATAGTGTTGCAATACTGCTATGTTTAATACCAGAAACACAATGTGTAATAAAACATTCTACAACTTTTTGAATATAACAGTTTGCAATGTGTTAGTTGTGATAAATGGATGCGTCCCTTCTAAGAAGAGACCACCACCAAGTTTTAATTGATTATCACAAATATTCAGTTGAAGTAATATTGCTACATGCCCGTCTGTATAAACATAAAGTTCTGACACATAACTGTGGTTAAAGTAGGAAGAAAATCACTGGGCTGTTTTCATAATGTTGTTTATCTAACAATGTGCATCTTTGTGTCTACTTTTCGACAGATCGTAGCATCAATTGATGTCCACGTGTGTTTTAAGATTAGGGCAAATCAAATGTCTGTTCTCTTCTTACGGATTTGCGTTCATTTATCACCGATATCGTCAGGTGTTTTCACTGCCGTGGCGTCTGCAGTTTTTGGAGATGACTCCAACAGCTCAGCGAGGTGTGGGTATTTTTCACGCAGAACGCTACAAAAGTGACGCATAGGATCCCTTTCTGGAGAACATCTCCACACTCGCTCCAGTAGTTCGTAACACCCCTCTTTCCGTGAACTGGCACATGCTTTCCGAATTACATCCGTATCATCTATATCAAGAATCTTCTTTTCAAAAAGGTAGGACAAGACATACGTAGGTTCGAGGTCATCTTCAATTTTTGTCCAATTTTCTCTAAGCTTTTCGAATTTTCTTTCAGTTTCCTGGGGTTCCTAAAATGAAACAAAAACTGTAAAAACAAAATGAAGGGCTCTGTGCCCGCAGACCAATATGTTTTGTATAGCAATCACCTCATCTTTTTGTGAAAATTAAGAGTGTCTGTGATGTTAATAGTCGCACATATTGTTAGTCACATATCAGGATTTACAGACTACTGCATTTTAATTTGTATGTTTGATTGAAATGTGGCTGTATCACGGATTGCAATTGTAGAGTAAAACGAACAAATTAACACACTCTCTCTCTCTCTCTCTCTCTCTCTCTCTCTCTCTCGGTATTAAAATAAGATTTAAAGAACTTATACAAATACACGTATTGACTTTAAATTCGTCAAGTTTGACATTAATATATAATGCTGGTCATCATGCATGTATTTAGGTCTATGACAACTGTTTCTTATCAAAATGTGCTGCATGTGGGGCAGACAAAAATACAAATGATCTTAATCTAATTGAACTGTAAACAATAATTGCTTACCTTGCCAGTGTACAGGTTGATATTCATCTTTAGAGCTGCGCCACAATTACAAACAGCAGATATTCCCTTGGGAATATTATCAAATAACTCGAACCCAGATTTGTTGTCTCCCAGATGGTACATATGAACGTGACCCTACAGATAAAACAACAGTAATGCACATTTGTTTCGGACTTACTCTACCTGTATCTATTGTTACTCTTACCTGACCAAAATATTAGATGCAATTGATGATTAATCTACAACTTAGTTAACAATGTTTGCTCACTTTTTCAAAACCAAACATTCTATTTTACCATTAAATACATGTATATGAGTTATTTCTTCAGTTATAGACCATGAACACTAAAAACAAGTAACAGATCTTGCTCACCTTTTCTAACCAACAAGTGTGTTCGTCTTGTTTCTGACAGACTAATCCCACGGAATATTTTTGCCCCGGAAAAGATGAATTGCACATATCATTCAACTGCTTATGAAGATTAGCGAGAATCTCGAAAGTTTGCTGTTCTATAGCGCCTGTTGGTAAATAAGGATCTGCACGTGTAGTAAACAAAATCACGTTTTGTGAAATAATGGATTTCATCTCAAGTTTGTACGTAATTCCTGTGGATGGTTCTGTAAATACAGCAAAATCAGAGTACACAGTTTGTCGAAAGTTTCTTTCCTTGAAATATTTGTCTCCGCTCATTTTTAACATAGTAGATGTAAGCCTCCAGAAAATTGACTTTGGTTCAAATTCTCCAAAGTCCAAACCGAACGCAATTTCTTCGCCTGGCGATAAATTCCAGAGGTTATCTCTGTCTTCTTGGCTAGCATTTTGCAACTGAAATGGCACGAGATAGTACGGGCTGCCAGGGACCTTAACGATTAAGTGACTTTCTTCAAGAAGTTTACCACAAACGTCTTTTAAATGTTTTGTTTCCTCAAATGCCAGTGATTGGCACTCAGAAAGTTGCTCAATTCTACGGTTTAATACCTGATCCATAGTACTTTCACTTAAGATGCCCATCTTGTTTTCTTTTCTCTCTATTAAATATAGAATTTCCAAAAACAAGTTTACGAACCATGACTGTCCATGACGCAGGACGACAAACCCTGTCTGGTAATCGCCACCATCAGTGTTGCAACAATGAATATCCCCCCTTTCGTTGAAGTATTTGACAAAATTTTTAATGTCATCTTCGTCTTTAACGACTCCTTCCTCAATGAGAGTATTTTTCAGTTTTGAGATCTTTATTATTGGAGATAACTCTGGCATGATTTTCGAAAACTTCAACCATTTGATCTCGGTTTTTTGTCTCCTTAAAACTGCAATTCCGGCAAGTTGCTTTCTGAGATGCTTTCCCCCTGCGTCCCTCTTGCACTGTCCTGAATTTTCTATTTCAAATATCAGGGTGCCGTCATTCCAGGAAATGTATTTATCGCTGCCCTCTCTTTCAAAAAAATGTGTCAATTCCTGAGAAATCGTTTGTCTGACCTCCTTATCAACACTGTCCCTGTGTGTCCCAACAATGAAGATAGGCCTGTGATTTTTGTAATCTTCATCAATATGGGCCAACACGCAGTTTAACCAATAGCGAAGCTTTATGAATTGCACACGCAGTTCGTTGCTGTCTTTAAGTCTTTTGGCCTCTTCAAAGTTAAAAACAATGATGTAAACTGCGTTCTTTGGCATGAATAAGTGATGGAAATAATGATATTCTTCTTGTCCTCCACAGTCAATTAACACAAACTTAATACGCATGCCTGACATCCCATTCTCGTATCTTGATTTTGCCAGTCTTAATTTGGTTAAATCAATTCCCATTTCCGTTGCTCGTTTCACCTGCCAAAAGCCCCACATCTCGAATGCAGCAACAATACCAACAGACAACACCTGATCTAAAATTAATTCTCCAGGAAGAAAAGTGACCTTCCAGTTCATTAAATAAACCATTCCGACACCTAGAACAAAGCCCAGTGCCCTTCGTATATAGAAAGGCAAATCGTACACTTTTGCAAGAGACCGTCCAATGAGCATCATTGCCGTGTGCTCTAGAATAGCACTGCTAAAACAAGCCAAGAAGATAATCATATAATGATGGACAAGCTTTTCCGTATACCATAAAATGAGACAACATAAAACATAAGAACACGCTATTATTGCTATAATATAAATGGGCAACCCAATGTAAAACCACCTCCGCAATAGGTCTGGTGACGTGTACTTGCATACGAAGACCCCAACAGTAGATCCTGTCCATGTTAAAATAACAAGTATCACTCGCTCGTGGTTGTACATCTTTAAATACTTTTCTTGTGTTAAGATCTGAAAAAAGAGGGCAATTGCAATATTGGAAACAATGACTTGGAGCCAAATTTTCATTAAAATTTGCTTAATGTTTCGTTTCTCGTGGAATAATTTGGCATGAAGCACATGACATGAAAACAACGTAAGGGTGACAATCAGAAACACAGTTAGCGCATGATTAAAGTCATGGGCCCATTCATACAGCACATTTGAAATAATTAAGAAAAAGTTAAGAATACTACCTTGACTTTTTAGGCAGACAAAGCTGAAAACCAATGAGGTTCCTGCCCTACACCCAAATCCTAACACAAACCCTATCAGCAACCCGCAACAAAGAACAGCAAGCTGGAATTCTAAGAACAAGTCTGGGTTGTCCAATCTCTGTTGCATAGTGCTGTCAGCGTATAGGATTTCGATACAGGCATACCTGTAAAATATACTGAGAGCGGTACCTTCGCCATATCTGATACCCATGGGCAGGTTGCCAGAAAATAAGATTGTAGAAAAGAAGCAACCTATGATTTTCAAAGAACATAACCCGATGGGAAAGAAAGCAAAAGCAACACATATGCAAAGCAATCCAAATACAAGTTTGAAATGTTGATCAAATGATGACCCGTGGTCACCTGCTTGAGAAGCAAAATCATCAGTCATTTTCACTGATGCGTAACTAGCTGCATATTGCTGTTCGTTTTCAGGATCCTTAACATCTTCCCAAGTGTCTGTTACGGCGGCAGTTTCCACGTGGTGCTTTTCATTTCTTCGAGTACTATTGTGACTTTTCCCGAAATCTTTTCCTCGGAAATAGCGTTGCAGAGATGTCTTTCCTACACCAGAATCTCCCAGGAATAATATTTTACTCGTTTCTAAATCAATTTGCCCCTCTTGCATGCTCCATTCATATTTGTGACGCAGATCGGCACTTGCCCCAATGATCCTCCTGCTTAACGTCCCAGTCTTTGCTCCCCATGTTCTGAACATGTCGACTTGCTGTACTTCGTTTTCGTTCTCCAATTTGGAGTTAATCGAATATTGGTACCTAGATGCAATTGACTACGAAATTGTGAAGCTGTCAAACGTGACCAAAACGATTGATGTGATGCGAGTTTTCGCAATATGTTTAGTTTGAAGACATAAAATAAACCAACGTGGAACTTTTACCAAAAATTTGTTCTTTCCGGCCTTTAGCTATCCTAATCTGAATGCAAAGATGTATTACTGACCTCAGCAGTTTGTTGAAATGCCGTCACGTCCTCGAATATTGTCAACGAAGACGTGAGCTTTAAAGAGAAAATGAACGGTATTTCAATTTAAAAATGGCGGTGATGTTTTGGCTATCGCACTCGTTATTCAAGCAGCTTGGAAGTCTAGATCAATCTCGCAAACTTTCTGTAAAGAATCACTCTTTTCAATCTGCATCAAATTATGAGATTGCCAAAAAAATAGTCCTATACCGTTCCGTTTCTTACTTGTAATTCCACCAATACCACAAGACGTGTCTGTTTCATCAACGGTCTTTAGCTATCCTGATCTGAATGCATTACTGACCTCAACAGTTTGTTGAAATGCCGTCACGTCCTTGAATATTGTCGACGGAGACGTGAGCCTCAAAGAAAAAAAAGAACGCTATTAAATGGCGGTGATGTTTTGGCTATTACTCTTGTTATTCAAGCAGCTTGGAAGTCTAGATCAATCTCGCAAACTTTCTGAAAAGAATCACTCTTCAATCTGCTGTTCGACGCCGTTTTTGTTCCATTGTTACGTGTTCGAAAATCAATTTGATTCACAATAATGTTACTGGGTCATACAAACATTTCCCTATTCACACTGCCACAAAGATCTGTAGTGGATATAAAAGGAGAAGTATTTGGTTAATAAGTCTTTGCAAAGGCAATGTTGGAGCCTGTTGGAGGGAACAGCTTTTTTATGTTTTCATTTCATATTTTGGTCCCTGTGTAGCTGCCTCTCGGTGGTGGGACTGACGTTCCAACATGGCTCCATTTTTTGCTTCTCTTCTTCTTTAAATGCTATTTTTTTTACTTTATTTCATTCTTTCACATATATTTTGTCATAATTATATTTTAACTATGTACACGCACGCGCGCGAGTGCACATTTGCACTCCCACATACACACACACAAATGCACAGAGAGAGATAGAGATAGAGAGAGGGAGTTTAAAAGTTCAAAAATAAAGTTAACAAAGATATTAGATATTAATGAAACCGGTCACATATACTGATCATCGTGTCCTTGCAAGTCGACACATACCAGGTGAAACAGGAATGGTAGTTATAAAACTGGATGTCCGGGGTCCCATATGATTAGTACGGGTGAGGGTTGGTCGTATCAGTAGTAGTATATGGGCTGAAGTAATGGGGAACGGTTCCTAAGGACTCCTGTTCTTGTTGCATACACTTCACCTCTAACAGTCAGCGATGTGTTAGTTGTGCTAAATGAATGTGTTCCTCTTTACCTATGGACGGAGACTTTTCATCCGGTTTAATTGATTACAACCTAACTTTTTTATTTATAGGCATTAAAATAACAACACGTCCTTGCACAAAAAATTATATTATGATCATATAATATTACTGCTGAAACTGACTGATATTGAAAGAAATATATTGGACTTTTTTTCAGAATTATTAGTACTTTTCCTGTTTCTCTTTTTCCATTATGTTGAAGGTCAAAGATCTTCAAATAGAAAGTGAAGTAAAACTTTATTCTTTTAATTGTCAGCAGCATAGGGGAAAATATTGATAAGTCTAAGGTTCAGATTTTTAAGGTTCAGATTTTTGTCCTTCAGTTTTTCGTCATTTTCTGTAAACTACGTAAAATGACTGGAGTTGAAATTAATTTGATATCGTTGTTAAACACAGGATGCAAGTTTACACAATGAGAGACTAATAGATCAGTAGATCAAATATGATCCTCCTGCTTAAAGTCCCAGTACTTTCAGCTCATCGCTTGAACATGTTTTCTTCCTGCTTTTTTTCCATTTGGTTGATAGTGTTTTAATTAAAATTTATTTACCAATTTAGAGTATGTACAAGTAAATAAAACATAATGATGGTAAAAATGCCTCGATATAAGTTCTTTCATTTCTAAATTTATATAGGAAAATGATATTCTTAGCAACCTTTATCTTTATATATATATATTTGTTGATAAATATATGTTCCCTTTTTTCCTCTCTTCTGAGTTTTTCACGGTTTATAAATTTCTATATTTTTGAAAATTTTGAACACTCTACAAAGAAGTGCAAAATTATCATCCTGTACAGACGTTCTGAAATCTTACATTTTTTAAAGGGATAATAACTCTTCCTATGAGATATATATTTTACAATAAAAACATTGTGAACAACTCATAGAAATAGAATATATTCTGTTTTACCACAAAAACGGCAGTTATAGCTATTATTCTGATATCTGAACATGTATTTAGGCCGCGTGACCTCCATTGATGGCTTTACTCTGTTATAATCTCTATTAAGAGATTTTAACAAAAAAAAAAAAAAAACTTTTTAGAAAAAAAACAGGGACTAACTTTGGATGTAAAAATGGATTCATGAACCATTGGTAAGTATGGGAAAATTGTTGTTTACTCCAAGAAAATTCATTTTTTTGGCCAAAAAAAAAAGAGTTATTATCCCTTTAAGTATTTCCCTGTTGGATAAATTTCATGCAAAATTTTCCACCGCGCTGCTCTTAATGCAGATTGAGTACATGTCAAAAATACATGTATGTCATTCCACACTACACTTGGTACTCTTTCATTATATATAATATTTTTTAATTTATTCAAAACAAGTTTTCTCTGGAAGTTATATCTTTTAGTTGAATTCTTTAAACGGTTAACTTAGACTGCATTCCCACATATTTTCAGATCGATCTATCCCCGTGGGGAGTCTCACTAGATTGCTGTCGGCTGAGCCGGCTTAAACGCCTACTAAAAGCTGTAAGGGGGTAGTTAACTTTTGTGTGCGCTCGGCTGACAGCATTTTAGCGTGAACCTCCATGGAGTTACGTCGATCCAGATGGATCGATTTTAATCTGTGGGAATGCAGTCTTACACTCTCGAGATTTACCATAGTCCTCAATTAAGTGATGAGTAATGCAATTTCTTAAAACTTGATATTCCACAAAGGTAATTCCATTCCGCCCAACCACCTGTGAAATATCTTTATAAGAACAAAGTCTATTTTCTCTAACTAAATCTCTGATATAAATAATTCCATTTTTTTATCCAACGAGTAATAAAGGTAAATTATTCCTCATGATATAGGTATTGTTCCACAAAATAGATTTTTACAATAGCTGTGCATTATCCATAACTTCAGAATTTGTTGATAAAACTCATGTTATGTTGATAGATAATGATCGTCAAGTAGATGACATATGACTACGTAGTGAAGCGAAACATTACTTCACTTGTGGTAGAGATTGTCAATGGTAAAAGTCTATGGTTGATATGGTTTGATATCAGATTTCTGTCCTTCAGCTTCTTTTTTCAACTCTTTACAGCCTTCTTAGAATTGTTTTGCTCACAAAAAGAAAGGTTAGCTCAGATAAATTTCAGATTGTTGTTTAACACAGGATCTGCGGATCAAATATGGCCGACCCACTTGAACATGCGTCGCGCTCGTCTGCAAATTACTGGGATCTGCATAGTTCAATTGAGCGATAACAGTTTTTTTATCAAAGGATATAAATTTCAAAATAATAGCAGTTCTAATATCGCAACATTCTTGCCGCAATTAATGCTATTCACACAATACACAGTTTAATACATTTTACATCTAAGAATCTGCATTGTGTTAGTTGGGAAGAGTGGATGTGGTCCGACTTTTATCTGGTTTTAATTGTTTAAAACACCCCTTTCCATTTTAGTGGAATACTAAATAACAAAGCTACTCGCGCATCTGAAATAAAATCACTGTTGGGTTGTTTTGAGTTATTTTTATAATTTTATTTACAATAGAAGAAAATCGATATACAACCTGTCATTCAGGTCATTCTTTATCGTATCCTTTCAAGCCATCAATCTATCACAAATATCTATGTATCTTTTTTTCTTCAAGACAAGGGAAATAAACATTAATTTTGTCATTGAGACATCAAAATACTTTTCTTTTGAGAAAAGCATTTCCCCCCTCAGATATTGTCAGCCGTTCCCACCGCCCTATCGTCTGCAGTTTCTGAAAATGGGTTCAACAGATCAGCGAGATGTGGGCGCTTTTCACGCAAAATGGTGCACAAGTGACGCATAGGCTCCTTTTCTGGAAAACATTTACGCAGACTTTTGAGTAATTCGTAGCACCTGTCTTTCCTATGGAGTGTATTTCGAATAACATCCATGTCATCTATACCCAGAACCTTCTTTTCAAAAAGGTAGGACAAGATATCTATAGGCTCGAGGTCTTCTTCAATTTTTGTCCAATTTTCTCTTAGCTTCTCGAATTGTCTTTCAGTTTCCTGGGGCTTCTAAAATGAGATTTTCATTGTAATGGCAAACCAACATGTTTTGTAAAGCAATCACCTCATCTTTTTGTTAAAATTTCCACTCACTACTGTTTGTTATCAAAATGTGCTGCTTGTGGAATCGACAAAAATACAAATTATATTAATGTAATTGAATTGTAAATCATAATTGCTTACCTTGCCAAAGTGCACGTAGATTTTCATCTTTAAGGTTGCATCACAGTTACAAACGGCAGGTGTTCCCTTAGGAATTTCATCAAATAACTCGAACCCAGATTTGCTGTCTCCCAGATGGCACATATGAACGTGACCCTGCAGATAAAACAACAGTAATACACATGTCATCCTATATCACTCTATCTATTGTTATCCTAATCTAATCAGCATTAGGAAAAGAGCCGATTGAATTTTAAAATATACCTATGTCAATGACACTAATGTTTTCAAAGACAAACATTTTATTGTACAATTAAAAATATGAGTTGTTTCCTCAATTATAGACCATGAACTCAAAAAGTAACAGGACTTGCTCACCTTTTCGTGCCAGTTGCAAGTCCTGTTACTTTGTATCTGACAGACTAGTCCCACAGAATATTTCTGCCCAGGGAAAGATGTATTGCAAATATAATTCAATTGTTTGTGAAGATTAGCGAAGATCTCGTAAGTTTGTTGTTCTATGGCACCTTCAGGTAAACGAGAGTCTCTACTAGTAGTAAACAAAATCACGTTTTGTGAAATAATGGATTTCATCTCAAGTTTATACTTGACCCCTGTGGATGGCTCTGTAAAGACAGCAAAATCAGAATACACAGTTTGCTGAAAGTTTTTTTCCTTGAAATATTTGTCTCCGCTCATTTTTAACACAGTAGATGTAAGCCTCCAAAATATTGGCTTTGGTTCAAATTCTTCAAAGTCCAAACCAAACCTAATTTCTTTGCCTGACGAAGTTTTCCAAAGACTGTCTTTGTCTTCTTGGCTAGCGGTTTCCAACTGAAATGGCACGAGATAGTACGGGCTGCTAGGTACCTTAACGATTAAGTTACTTTCTTCAAGAAGTTTTCCACAAATGTCTTTTAAATGTTTTGTGTCTTCACATGTCAGCGATTGACACTTAGACATGCTATCAATTTTACAGTGTATTGTCTGATTCATGGTATTTTCATTTAAGATACCTTTCTTTTTTTCTTTTCTTTTCATCATGTCTTGTATTTCCAAAAACAAGTCTACGAACCATGACTGTCCGTGACGCAAGACGACAAACCGTGTTTGACAATCGCTGCTATCACTGTTGCAACAATAAATATCCCCCCTCTCGTTGAAATATTTAACAAAATTTTCAAACTCATTCTCGTCTTTAACGACACCTTTCTCAATGACAAAGTCTTTCAATTCTGAGATCGTTATGATTGGAGACAAACTTGGCATCACTTTCGAAAATTTTAGCCATTTGATCTCAGTTTTTTGCCTTTTAAAAACTGCAACTTTCGCAACTTCCTGCCTGAGATATTTTCCCTGTTCGTCCCTCTTGCACTGTCCCGAATTCTCCACTTCAAATATCAGGGTGTCCTCATTCCAAGATATGTATTGATCGATACCTTCCCTTTCAAAAAAGTGTGTCAATTCCTGAGAGATCAGGAATCTGACCTCCTTGTCAACACTGTCCCTGTGCGTCCCAACAATGAAGATGGGTTTGTGCTGTTTGCGATTTTTCCCAGCAGGTAAACATATATGTGCTAACACGAAGTTTAACCAATAACGAAGTTTTTTGAATTGTACGCGCAGTTCGTTGTCGTCTTTAAGTCCTTTAGCTTCTTCAAAGTTAAATACAATAATATATACAGCGTCCTTTGGTATGAATAAATGATGGAAATAATGATATTCTTCCTGTCCTCCACAATCAATTAACACAAACTTAATACGCATGCCTGATACTCCATTCTCGTACTTTGATTTTGCCAGTCTTATTTTAGTTAAATCGATTCCCATTTTCATTGCTTGTTTCACCCGCCAAAAGCCCCACAACTCGAATGCAACAACAATACCAACAGACAACACCTGATCTAATAAAAATTCTCCAGGAGGAATAGCGACCGTCCAATTCATAAAATAAACCATTCCGACACCTAAAATAAAGCCCAGTGTCCTTCGTGCATAGAAAGGCAAATCATAAACTTTTGCAAGAGGCCGGCCAATTACCATCATTGCCGTGTATTGTAGCATAGCACTTGAAGAACAAGCCAAGAAGATAATAAGATAATGGCGGTAATTTTTTTCCGTACACCATAAAATGAGACCACAGAGGAAATAAGAACACAAACTTATCGCTATCATATAAACAGGCAACCAAATATAAAACCGTTTACGCATCAGATTTGGTGACGTGTTTTTGCATACGTAGATGCCAACAGCAGCACCAAACCAAATCAATGTGATAACAGTTGCTTGGTCGTCCTTGAATAAACTCGGATATTTCTCTGTTTATCATCTGATATATGAGGGCAGTTGCAAAGTTTGAAACGATAACCTGAAGACAAAATTGCTTGATGTTTATTTTCCCGTGGTACACATACGCTTGGCATAAATACAACGTTAGACTGGCAATCACAATTACAGCTGATGCATGTTTAAAGTCAAGACAAAATTCACGGAGAATATCAAAAACAACTGGGAGAAAGTTGAGCATACTGCCTTGACTTTTTAGGCAGACCAAACTAAATACTATCGAGGTTCCTGCCCTACACCCAAATCCTAACACAAACCCTACCACCAACCCGCAACAAAGAACACCAAGTTGGAATTCTAAGAACAAGTCAGGGTTGTTCATTCTCTGTTGCATATTTCTGTCAGCGTATAGGGTTTCAATAAGAGCATATCTGTAAAATATACTGAGAGCTGTACCTTCAGCATATCTGATACCCATCGGCAAATTATTAGGGAAAAACAGAGTAGAGAAGGTGCACCCTATGATTTTTAAAGAACATAACCCAAAGGGCAAAAGAGCAAAAGCAACGCATACGCATAGCAATCCAATTGTAAGTTTGAAATGTTGATCAAACAATGCACCATTTACAGCTGTTTGAGATTCTGAAGGAGAATCAGTCTTTTTCACTGTTACGTAACTAGCGGCATATTGCTGTTCGTTTTCAGGGTCAGTAACATCTTCCCAAGTGTCCGTTACGGCTGCAGTTTCCACGTGGTGCTTTTCATTTCCGCGAGTGATATTATACTTTTCCGAGAAACCCTTTTCTCGGAAATAGCGTTGCAGGGATGTCTTTCCTACACCAGAATCTCCCAGAAATAATATTTTACTCGTTTCCAAATAAATTGTCCCCTTCTGCATGCTCGTTTCATATTTGTTTCGCATACTAGCACTTGCCCCAATGATCCTCCTGCTTAAAGTCCCAGTACTTGCACCCCAGCGCTTGAACATGTCTTCCTCGTGTTTTTCTTTTTCCATTATGCTGATAATTAAAGAACGTCAAATAGATGACCAATTACTACGTAGTGAAACGAAATATTATTTCACTTGTGGAAGAGAGATTGTCAGTAGTAAAAGGCAAAAATCTTGATAAGTCTTGAATGGTGTGATGTCAGATTTCTGTCCTTCAGCTTTTCATTTTCTGTAAAATACGTAAAATACAACTATTTACAGCCTTCCTAGAATTCTTTTGTTCACACAATTAGGACGTTAGTTCTGGTTAATTTAAGGTCGTTGTTTAACACAGGATATCAATTTACACAATAGCGGACTAATCAGCAATCAAATGTCGCCGACCCACTTGAATACGGGTCGCGTAATCTCTGCAGGGCATCTAATTAGTGTCTATTAGGGGATAATGCGCCAAGGGTCGGCCATATTTGATCCGCTGATCTGTTATTCCGCGGATCAACTTGTTTTGAACGCAGCCACTGGTTACATGTAAATTTCGTGTACAATGCATAAGGTTTTGAGATTAGTCTACAATTATTCCCTCTAATTATCCGTTTATCACTATAATTTTATTCACTGCTGCGCCTTAAGTATTGATATTAATTTCAAAGTCAGTATAATTTTAGAATGGTTTAGAATTAGGTTTATCTTTAAGACCACGTCAGATCAGTTCTGATCTGAAATTGCACTTTGAGACCAAATCAGGTGATTGAGGCTATCAGTTAACAGCTGATATTTAAACAGACATTGGACTTTCCTGATGTCAACACTAAGACCCCATTTCCAGAGATTAGATCGATCCAACTAGATAGACCAAACTCTCTGGGGGTTCATGCTAAATAGCCGTCAGCCGAGGGGGCAGGAAATTTAATTACCCCCTTACAGCTTGTAGTAGGCGGGACGGGCATTTAAGCCGGATTAATTGACAGTAATCTAGTGAGACTCCCCACGGGGATAGATCGATCTAAAATCTATGGGAATGCACCCTAAGACGCCTACTGGTCTCAGCTGCTTGTTGGTTTGTTGAAATTATCTTTAATGTTTGTATATGGTGGTGATGCTTTGGGCTCACTTTGTTTAAGTTAAAAGTCTAGACTAAATTTCGCCAACTCTCTGACACCGAAACCTACTCGTCAGTCTGCTGTACATCGCCAATTTTCTTTCTGAAGACAAGAATTTAGGATTTAATGTAGAACTTGATATTTAAGTTCAGCTCACAGCTGCTAAAATCGTAAAGCCTACTTTGTTTAGTCAACTTTTAACAGCATCCTGGTCTCAAAACTTAAAAAGTCCCTCTCTACTATCAGCAGGGCCGTAGCCTGAGCAAAATGCCAGGGGGGGCAGTAAGCGGACACGAGGGGGCGAAGCCCCCGAGGGGGAAGGGTGGGGGTGTCCCCCTCCCACGGTGTAGAAAATTTTTCAAACTGTATGTATAATACTGCATTCTGGTGAATTTTAACTGTTATTTATTGCTCAATCAGAAGTCAGAAATTGCGATTATTTTTTTGCACCTCAAATCCCAGGGGGGGCAGCTGCCCCCCTGCCCCCCGGAGGCTACGGCCCTGATCAGTATGCCTATGCAATTTTTAGACAAATTATTTAGACAAATTATAAAGATCCTGTCTGGTGCACAACTTAGAAAAGGGTTACTATTTGGAGTCTGTCTTTGTGAACGGCAAATTTCACGAACTAAGCCAAGACTGCAAAATCGTTTAGAACACTTTGTAATGTCACCTGTACTGCATTGGTCTAAGAGCTTTAACGATTAGGCTGTTAAAGGCAAGTTGTTTTCCCATAACAGCTGAAATTACAAAGATAAACAAAAATAAAAAATATGTCACAAATGTCATACAATTAACGTAAAAGCTAAAAAATCAATCTGTCTGATGGTCCAGAAGGTCTGGCCGGGAAATAAGCTTAGAAATTAACATTCTCTTCCAATGTTTTTGAGAGTGTAAAATATTTGGAATGTTATGAATCGCAATTGTCCCAGAGTAAATTACTTTTGGGCCCGCTGACTTCATATTTCTTGCACATTATTCCATGATTTGAACATTTAGGCTGGAACTTTTTTCCTATGAAAATGGTGAGTTGGCCAGCCAACTCAAATTAACGCGAACTCTCTTTTGACTTTGACCGTCAATACCATGGAAAAGCTAGGAGAGTGAGAGTGGATATTGCTCAGAAATAAGTCAGTCCGCCGAAAAACGTCAAGGCCAAATTATCCTTATTACTGGGAATATAAGCCTTCTTATTGGTGAGGGGGTGTAAATTGTTCCAAAAGAACAAAATGTTATAATGATGACCTACCAAAATTTGGCACATGTAGTATCGTTAACAGTCTACAATATTTTTATTATTTTACACTTTTTAAAACAAGACACAAATTACACCTGCAGTTATGGAAATGGTCTGAAAGATATTAAGGGACACCTTATAGACTATGATGATAAAAGGGAATTCTTCATTGCGTGTTTTACATCAATTACTGGAAAAGATAGAGCTGCTAAATTGCAGACAAAAAGCAAAAAAAATAATATTCATAAATGTTATTTTGCCAACTTTGCTGCAATTGTTCATTATGCTTAACAGTTTAGTCAACACCAAATTTTACTTATGCATAACATGGAACACAGATGTTAGGTATATGTAGGTAGCATAAGGCATAGGTACACGAGAGTTCATATCTTGAAAATGCCGTAATGAACTAACATTTCACAAAAAAAAGAATAACTTCAAAAAAAAAAAAAAAAAAAATAATAATAATAATAACAATAAGGATTCTGATCAGGCAGCAGGTTTACAAACTAGACCTGTATCTATGTATATGTCATATTTATCAGTCCTGTGAGTTTGAAGATAATCAGTCAAGTGGTTTTCCATGAAATGTAGTATCATCATTGCTTATAGTAACAAATGAGCTGAATAAAACCAGAATAACATTTGAAAAAATAATGATCTAGATGGTTTACAAACTCGACCTGTATTTAAATCAGTCGTGTAAGTTTGAAGACAATTTAATACAACATTGGTCAAAAAAGTTGTCCCACCCCCAGTTTCATGTGCTTTTATTTATAAATGATCACATCACAGGAGTTAGTTACTATGAATGGTGATTTTCATTCCATACACCATAACTTACATGATTAGTGATACAGAAAATACAAACTAGTGGTTAAGATATCCATATGTAATACAATTTATTCACATTTATTACATGTACCCCCTAAAATCCGATGTTCCATTGTCATTTCCACAGAGGTAAAGACATATTCATTTAATTAAAAGGATACCACCAAATGTCACCAAATTTACACAAATTTAGCTCCTGTAGACGGCGCCGCTGCCTTCAACAAGGGTAACAATTCTGTTTTGCGGGATATTGTCCTATGTTTCCTAAAAAGCTTGGCGGAATTGGTCCAGGCTATTTGGAGTTTGGTTCTCCTCTAGATCGCACACTTAAATTCATCAGTAGGTTTATTATCAGGACTCAAACATGGTTTCTGCAGCCTCAGAACATTGGGTTTCTGCAACAAATCTCACCAGACCAGAACTGTGTGCAAGTGTGCTGTCATGATGAAGCCTGGATCACCCCGAAGTCCCCTCTTGCAGACGGAATGAAGTATCAGTTACGTTCACTGAACCCACAACTACCAGAACTTGATCAAACACCACTAGGAACAAGTTGGTTTTGCTGGTGAATCTATGTATTCCTTGTATGCCTTCGACGGTCAAGTTAGGGCCCGTAGACATGTTGCAGAATGCTTTTTTGGAAGAAGTGTGCAGGATAATATCGCCCGAGGTGTCTGGTCAGTCCACGTTTGGAGAGCATTCCAAGCCCATGGTTTTAGTACATTGTTCTTTCCGGAAAAGAACGTTATTGGGAGAATTCACTGAAACATTCTCAACAAATATCTCATGCTATTTGCAAGAGGTGACTTCAGGGATACTGCAGGTGTCATCGTGGAAATGCACTTGCACACAGCTCTCGTCTACTGAGTAATTTGTTGCAGAAACCCAATATTCAGAGGATGGAGCAACCATCTTTGAGCCCTATTATTAACTCTACTAAGCATCTGTGACATGAATTGGAGTGTGCAATGCAAAGGAGAACCAAACTCCTAATAATGTGGACCAAGTCCCTCCGGGCTCTTTAGTATGAATAGGACAATATCCCACAAAACAGAATTGTTACCCTTATTGGAGGCAGGAGATAATTACAGTACGCGGTAGACACAAACGCGTTTAGACACGTAACCTTTAACGAGCACACCCGAATGCTAAATATTTGTAAATTTGGTGATATTTGGTGACATCTTTTCAACTGAATGGACATTTCTTTCTCTATGTGAAAACGTCGGAATTAAGGAGGTACTTGCAATAAATGTGAATAAATGGTATAAAATATTGATATCTTCACTCTAGTTTGTATTTTCTGTACCACTAATCATGTTAGTTGTGGTATCTGGAATGAAAATTACTCTTTATAACAATTTTCACCTGTGATGCGATCATTTATAAATAAAAGCACATAAAAGCACAAAAAGCTTGTATATGCTAAAAAACAAACAAACAAACAAAAAGCAACATAACTTCAAAAACATGGTCCTATTAGGCTAATGTTCGACTTCAACCTGTATTTTAATAATATTGATCATCCGTGTAAGTTTGAAGACAAAAGGCCTATCGGTTTTCCTTTAAATGTGTTATCTGTATTCCATGTAGTATAATAAGGCTGAAAAATAATCAACAAATAAAATAACAAAGACAACTTCAGGAAACATGGTCCTATTCAGCCTATTTTCCAAACCAAAATGTATTTTAGTAACACTGATCACTCCTGTAATTTTTTTCAAAGCTGATATTCGAACATACATACAACTTTTTTCTCATCACTCGGACGCTTTAAATACTGACCTTAACAGTTTGTTGATTTGCTACAATATCCTATCTGAAAACGATATTTAATGAAGATAATGCTTCGATTCTTTTTTGCAGGCAGTTAAAAGTTCACATCAAAGGTTGCCAGCGTCAAAAAACATACTTCCCAGTCTCTCCAGTCGTATTTTTTCTTTCTGGTGACTTGAAGGTGTATCTGGTGACGTGAAGGTGTAAATGTAGGAACTGTCACATGCATATTGAGGTTATCAGTTACAGCTGCTAAAATAGGAAAGATTACTTTGTTGAGTCAACTTTACAGGTCCCTGGGTCTCAAGGCTAACTGGATACGTAACTCTCTACTATCAGCATGCCTATGCATCTTCCAGACAAATCATGACCATATTACCCGTCTGGTGCACAACCGTGGAAAAGGGTTGGGCCTTACCCTCTGCCAGGGGCACAGATAAATTCACAGATATATCTCAGGTTACATTGACTGCAATTTTTCTGCACTGTGACCCTGTAATGAAATCTCAAGGATGATTACATGGCTGGTTACTTTTTCCACACATGTAACTACATGTACACAAGAACTGCCGCCTAACAAGTCCCACCCTAGTCCCCTTGCAATCAAGACAGTAATTTGCTCTTCTGTGACAACAAAAATAGCTTTGGTATTTTCAGAGTTTTTCTTCAAACCACGTGTTTCAGCAGACAGACAAGAGAATTAAACAGGTTGTGTTATTCACGTTGGGGCGGTGCCCAGCACCCACTGGGCTCTGCAGAGAGGGTACAATGCCATCTGTACGCATGCAGGTTTTTAAAATTTGGCAAAAAGTCACATGGTCGGGTCAGAGTCCATTTATTATAATATGCAGCCCTGGTAGAGGGTACTTAGGTTTACTGTTTGGGTAAAACGTGTCTAACAGTCTTTCTACGGGTTTTGTACCGGTAAATTTCGTGGACTAAGCTAAGTGTGCTGAAATCGGTCAGCCCACTTTATAAAGTCACCTTTATTGCACTGGTCGAAGAGCGTTTTACGATTAGACTGCTAATCGCAAAGATATCTTCCTATTACAGCCCCAGTTACGAAGATTAACAAAAATCAGTGTTATGTCATTTATGTCATATCATCTAGGTCGCCACTGACAGCTTGTTACAGGTTACAGTTTTTCGGCCATGATTATGTGGAAATCAAGCAATGGAAAATGATTGCGGTTAGAAAGACTTTATGTTGTCTTCCCGGGACAGCGCGTGAAAATTATGCGTATGTATTAAAATTAAAGATTAAAAACTAAAAATGATCATGACCAATCAATTTGTAAAATGACAAAATAGCTTTCATGACTGCGTGTTTCTTTATTGGTGAACATATTCAAACAAATAATCGTTTTTTGAGGTCTGCTCTTAAATGCAGTCATAAACAGGTACTTGTAAGTTGCACATGTACAAGATTATTTTAAGTCACTTAAACACTGAGGGAAACGTTGCTGGAGCTGCACATATGTGCGAACGTTTCAGCTAGTTATTGACTTAAGATGATGTGAAACAGGTTCCCGGGTCGGTAAATACTGGGATGTCGGGGCAGTAAGTGGGCAGGGTCTTATAGTTTTATTTCATTTTGGTCTCTGCATGTGCATTGGCTATGGTACAATGGGCAGGTATAAAAATAGGACCCCTGTTTTCTACCTGAATCATAAACGCACAGACCTATTCCAGACTCTTTTTAAGTATTGGCTAGTGCCACCAAATAATTTTCATAAGTAAATACACACAAACACACAATGTCAAAGAATATTCCAGTTTTATTTGATCAGAAACAATATATAATAAGTTAACCTGCTTCGGTGAGGGGAGGGGTGGATGGGTGAAAATATTCCTTTTTAGACATGTTGACCGAAAAAGAACAGATCAAGTCCTGCAAAATACATTGCTAATGAAGTTATAAATAACAGTAAAACATTTATTGCAACCTCAGCATCATCATGTTCTGGTGAATATAACAGTCAGGTAAACAAGTAACGCATATAGCTCAGCTGCATATTACTAGAATCTACTCATTTCAGATAAGCGATAACAGTTTTTTTATCAAATGATTAAAATGTCAAAATTAAAACTGTTCTAATGACTACATATTGCAATGTACATGTACTTGCTGTAATTAATGCACAATGCACAGTTTAAAACATTTTACCTTTAAGAGTCTGTAATGTGTTAGTTGGGACAAATGGATGTGCCAATGTGGTCCTACTTCCATTAAGTTTTGATTGTTTAAAACACCCCTTTACATTTTAGTGAAATACTAAATAATAAAGCAACACACCCATCTGAAATAAAATCACTGTTTTAAGGACTGGAAGTAAACCTTTGGGTTGTTATGATAATTTTACAAAGTTTTGTTTTTATAATTTTTTATGTCTCCTTGATCTAAGCTGATGTAAGTAATATGATATGTCATTTAAAAGAATGGAACAAACTCAAGTGTGATGTTTGAAATTTGGCCGATGATGGCCGCGTTTATTGGAGGTCCCATTAATAAAAAGAAATAAAGCATATGAATAATAAACAATGAATAATGTTGATACATGATATAAAATAATGTGTGCTCCTGAAGTATCTACATTTAAAATATAATTTCAAACAAATAGTGCACACATTTCAAATTTTGGGGATGCAAACAGTATTAGACCGTTGCCATAAATAAATCTTTGACCATGCCAAACTTCCCTTTATGTCTCCTTGATCTAAGCTGATGTAAGTAATAGGATGTGTCATTTAAAAGAATGGAACAAACTCAAGTGTGATGTTCAAAATTTGGCCGATGATGGCCGCGTTTACTGGAGGTCCCATTAATAAAAAGAAATAAAGCATATGAATAATAAACATTGAATAATGTTGATAAATGATATAAACATAATGTGTGCGCTTGAAGTATCTACATTTAAAATAAAATTCCAAACAAATAGTGCACACATTACAAATTGTGGGGTTGCAAAGAGGCCATAACCTTGGGCTCACAGAGGCCAAGGAAAACCCCACAGAGTGAGATGGAAAAGTAGCGCTCCCGTGGTTAAACGCTGAGGCGTGTACCTCAATGAAAACCCCGTCCGTGATTGGGTGTCTGATCACGATAGATGCAGCGCTGAAAAATCGTGTAGCATCGAATCCCAGGCTACAAGCAAATTTGTGAAGTATTAGACCGTCGCCATAAATAAACGTTTGACTATGCCAAACGTCACTATTCAAAATCGAAGAAATACGATATAAATCGTGTCATTCAGGTCAGTTCTTTATCGTTTTCTTTCAAGCCATCAATCTATCACAAATATCTATGCATCTTCTTCATTTCGAGTCAAAGGAAATTAACAACCGTTGAACATTTATTTTGTTATTGAAACCAGTTGATAATATCAGAATATTTTTCCTTTGAAATAGGCGTTTTTCTTCTCAGATATTATCAGTCGTTCTCAGGGTCTCAGGGATCAATTCCGGCACACACACACTAGAGAAAACAAATATACAGGGGGTATTGCTCTTCTTCCCACTTCGCAAATTTTTATGGATGATGAAAACGGATTGTTGTGCGTTATTCAACTTCAGTACAAAGTATTATTTACAATACACGTGAACTAAACAAATCGTCCCCCGAGGGGGGATGGTGTCCCCATCCCACGTTGTGGAAAAATTTTAAAAACTGTATGTATAATACTGCATTCTAGTGCATTTTAACTGTTATTTATAGCTCAATCAGAAGTCAGAAATTGTGGGTTCATTTTGCCATAAGTACAGTCATTTTTTCAACACAACACGGCCTTCATTTCGTAGATTGTCTCAGGATCATGAATAACGTTTCTTCCTCTGTGGACAAGCAAGAGAGCCAATCCGCTAAGGCGTTCCTCTGCCATGCTTGTGCGTGTCCACAGTTTCAGACGACGGATGGCTGAAAATTATCTCGCATGGAACACTGCCCACTGGTGTAGCAAGGAAGATTGTAAAGATCCTACGAAGTACAGGGAAATAAACAATAACCTGATAACAGCCTGGAGGATAGCTCCCTAAGGGAGGTGAGCTTTTTGGCATGAACTGTTTAACTGCCGATTCAGGATCGCAGCGTGCTCTCTTCCCTGACAATTTTGTATGTGTTTAATGTGACATTTTCCATTATTCATTAATATAAAGCACAATACGATGCATATTCTAAGCAGAGCGTGCTCACAAGACCGGCGCCATGTTGCCAATGTCCCAATGTTGTTATCCAGTGTCGTGGACGTGCACATATATTTATGGTGTTGACAAGTGCGTGCGTGTGTTGGAGAGGGGACAGTGAAGTATAGGCCAAGAAAGATAATTTGGTAGATTGTCAGAAAATTTTTCTGGATCAGCCCCTTTATATAAATGGATAGCACGTTTCCCTGCAATACAATACCGGGTATAATTAATATTGGATTGAAATCTAAGCGCTTTCGAGGTGCTGTCATTGTTGACACAAAAGAAACGCAGTGGGACATGCTAATGGATACATAATTTTGGCTTTCGTTTTTCTTCTTTTGACTTAATCAAAATTTTGGCCTCTTTGCAACTCCTCAAATAAAAATATGAGGGTTATTTGTCTGGACATTATATATTAACGTAAAAGTAGCTGATGCCAGTCATTGAACCTTGATAAGATTTGTATATAATATCTTTTAAATAAAAGAAAAAAATAAGGCGAGGTGGGTTCGGATAGCACGTTTTTTTCTTTTCTTTTTAAAATTATCATTATATATACGTATCTCTTATCAAAGTTCAATGATTCGTATCAGCTAGTGTTTTTGCTAATGATATCATGTGGGGTGTTGAAATTGAAGTTACAGTGTGTTGTGTGCCATCCTATTGGTTAAAGTTTGATATTTCCTTGCATATTGGTTTTTTATGATTGCTGAAAAAAATGGCGTTCTAGTTTATTTGTACATCTGCTATTTCATCCTCGTGAATCCTCATACCTCTGTGTCACCCTCAACATGTTTTTCTAGATAAATAGGCATATAAGATTAGGCCAGCTCGCAGGGTTTATTTATTTTAAAAGATAAAAATAAACAACAGACTGAAGATATTTATAATATATCATTTATTGTTATAGTTTTATTAATATTTTTTACATTTAGGCTACTTGTAAACCTACTTATATAATGCAATCAACACAACAGCTAAACAGTAACAGTAATATGCAAACATATATTTGTGACAAAAGTGTATGTTTTCACAATATACTAAGTACTAGTAAAGTGATTAGTATAAATACCCGTTTCCACATCAGTGTATATATTCACATTGCAGTTCATAACATATTTCTAACGAAAGGCCAACTGTCCCATATTAAACATATAATATTCATTAATTCTAATTAATTTTCAAGTACTAAATAACTAATTTTTAAACGTATTAGTCACATTCCAGTCCATCTTAATTTGCTGCATTTGAAGTGACACATTTGTTATATTTCTAATTAAGTAGATTTTTGTCCAAGTATCTTGAATATTAAAAATGGTGTATTATTAATATGTATTGTTTTTAACTGTACTTTAACAAAAATATTGTTAAACTGTACACACCTTCAAGTCTCAGTCTAATAATTGGGAAAATCACAGCCATATGAGCCAGTGGCTGCCTGGCTGTTCGGGTAGAGACTTTCACCAAATTTTAACTGACTATAACATATTTTCCTTATTAGTGAAAAAAAGTCTACACATCCTTTCTGTGATATTATCACTATTTCTATAGTTTAAAGAAAACCATTTGGTTGGCCTAATGACATTCAAAACAAAGAAATAAAAGATAAAATAAATAAATAAATAAAATGTGGTATTCAGAACACCACTTTGATTTTCCTTTTCAATGTACATCTGTGTGTCTACCTTCAAACAGTGTTTTTTACTACTATGATCGTAGGGGTATATTTAATAGTACAAAAACTCAAATGAATTCTACACTGTCATATAAAAATTATGTTCAATTAACACACAAATATGTGGATTTGAGATAATTCTGAAAACCCATCTTCCTCTCAAAAAAGTGATCGATCACATACACTGTATATACAGTACACTGGTATGGTGAAAAATTACGCAGCATTTTCTTGACTTTGACTAACTGCTAGATGTGAATCCTGGCATCCATCAGGTCTAAGGGCACCACGCATATACTGCACTGGTAACTCCTGTACATCCTCTGGTTTCACTGCAAGAAGAGCCGCCAGATTATAACGGTCCTCGTCAATAAACCAGTTTAGCAGGTGCCTCACAGGTTCCTTATCCAATGGACAGTCCAATACCTTGTGTAATAATACACTACATTTATCTGATGATGTTTGTCGGTGGTTGACTTCTTCCATGTCTGACTTACTAATGATACTCTCTGAATAAAGAAAATCTAGCAGTTTATTAATTTCCAACCCAGCATTTGCCATGAAATATAAGTTTTTTCGAAGATTCTCAAATTCCACTTCCCGCCTCCTTGCTTTCTGGAATATAAATATACACAGTACTTACAAACATATGGCCTAAAACCGACTTTCTTTATCCAAACACCTGCAAAATCTATATTTTGATAATGTGCATTTGACGAATATTTCTATCGTTTAATTAAATTCAGATAAAGGCTCATTCAAACTTGGATTGAAGGTGTCTTTTGGCATCTTTCAAACTTTCGGCCAATATGCTAAAAGGGTGGATATAAACTTACTTTAACTTCATCAATTAGGTCTTCTATTTCAGATGGATTCATTGTTTCCTTCACTGTCTCTCCAACCTTCCTCAGCAAAAACATTAGTTGCTGAAATGAAGACTGCAAATGACAGAAGACAAATTCAACAGGTTCTGTAGGACAACAGTTATCCCTCAGCTGAAGTTCATGTACAACGGCCCTCCATACTTCTGGGTTTTTCAAAATGCCCTCTAAGTTATCTTTAACCGCCAAAGGCAGATACCTTTGTAAAACCTGGACAAAGTCAGGCGGTTCAGAAGCAACCGACTTCTGATGTCCACTCTGTTGTAGGATGTTGATATAATATGTATTTGCATTTATAATAGATTGCTCTGTTGTTTTCATCACTGCAGCCCTATGACCAAATACGGTAAAATCAGCTTCACATAGTGACAGGGCTTGATTTGGTCTTCCAAAATGATGGCCTAGAGCACACAAGGCTTGAGAGTCTGGAAGCTGTTGTTGAGGCGATTGCGGTGACGTAAGGTGCGGAGATTGCTGAGGATGTGCAAATTGCTGCTGTTGATGATACAAACGAGGTTGCTTTTGCTGAAATTGCTGCTGATGTTCAACAATTTCTTTGTGAGGCTGGGTTTCAAATACTTGATTCTCGTCATGACCTTGGTATATTGATGCTAATGGCGGTTGTGATGGAGGGCTTAGAATTGACTGTTGCTGCGAAGATTCTGAAAACCCTGGGGCTGGGAGAACTTGTGTCTGGTGGGACACCAAGGGGTTCATAACCAACTGTTGCTGCGAAGGCACTGAGGGCCCTGGGGCTGGAAGACCCTGCTGTGTCTGGTGGGACACCAAGGAGTTCATAACTAAAGGTTGCTGCGAAGGCCCTGGGGCTGGGAGACCCTCCTGTGTCTGGTGGGACACCAAGGGGTTCACATGTAACTGTTGCTGCGAAGGCACTGAGGGCCCTGGGGCTTGGAGACCCTGCTGTGTCCGGTGGGACACCAAGGAGTTCATAACCAACGGTTGCGGCGAAGACCCTGGGGCTGGGAGACCCTCCTGTGTTTGGTGGGACACCAAGGATTTCATAACCAACTGTTGCTGCGAAGGCACAGAGGGCCCTGGGGCTGGGAGACTCCACTGTGCCTGGTGGGACACCAAGGGGTTCTTTAATGAATGGTTCTGCATGGATTCTGGTGTCTTCTTCTGTGACTGGTTTCCCCCATACGGCTTGGCAACTGTATGAGACCGTTCACTGTCAGCTACCTTTGTAATCTGAAAGTGCAAGCATAGTTTCAAAACATTTTGACAAGATATATTGAAATTAAATTTCTTCCCAATTTTAACTTCTTCGTTTTTTTAAAAAAGCTGCGCATTGCCACTCTAAAGTGAAACGAACAGAATTACGCTGTCCCTCACTTTACCTTTCCTGATGTGCTTTTGTAATGCATTTTAACAAGTAGGGCATATATGTTCTCATTTTAAACTCGTTATCCATCATGTTAACGTTGACCATATCATAATCAGGTATATAGCCATTGTGTTTTCAAGGTGTGTCATGTATAAAAAAAAACTGCGTAATAAAAAGTAATTATGTAATTGAATAAGCAAACAAAGATATACCAGCAACTTAATCACTGTAACAATATGTGCCCATTGCTTACCTTGCCAGAGTACAGGTAGATTTTCATCTTTGGGGCTGCGTCACATTTACAAACAGCAGAAATTCCCTTGGGAATATTATTAAATAACTCGAACCCTGATTTGTTGTCTCCCAGATGGTACATATGAACGTGACCCTACAGATAAAACAACCATTGCCTAATGCATATGCACATTTGTTTTTATATTACTATATCTATTGTTACCCTTAACTGACCAAATAAAGTTTAGATGCGATCGATATTTAATCTATAACTTCGTCAATGACACTTGCCCACTTTTTCAAAGCCAAACATTTGAGTCTTCGATTAAATATATTAATATTCACTTCAATTATAAACCATGAAAGTAACAGAACTTGCTCACCTTTTCCTTCCACAAACAAGTGTGTTCGTCATGTATCTGACAGACTAGGCCCACGGAATATTTTTGCCCAGGGAAATATGTCTTGCATAAATAACTCAATTGTTTCTGAAGATTGACAAAGACCTCGAAAGTTTGCACTTCTATGGCACCTTCAGGTAAACAAGGGTCTGTACGTGTAGTAAACAAAATCACGTTTTGTGTAATGATGGATTTCATCTCAAGTTTATACTTGATACCTGTGGATGGTTCTTTAAAGATGGCAAAATCAGAGTACACAGTTTGCCGAAAGTTTCTTTTTTTGAAATATTTGTCTCCGCTCGTTTTTAACAGAGACGACGTAAGCCTCCAGAAAATTGGCTCAGGTTCCAAAGTCCAAAGTCCATACCAAACGCAATTTCTTTGCGTGACGTTTTCCAAAGATTATCTCTGTCTTCTTGGCTGGCGTTTTGCAACTGAAATGGCACAAGATAGTACGGAATGCCGGGGACCTTTACGATTAAGTGACTTTCTTCTAGAAGTTTTCTGCAAATGTCACTTACATGTTTTGTATCTTCAAGCGCCATCGATTGAAATTTTGCAAGGCTCTTTATTCTATTGTTTATTGTCTGATCCATGGTATTTTCATTTAGGATGCCTTTCTTTTTTCCCTTTCTTTCTGTTATATTTAGAATTTCCAAAAACAACTCTACAAACCACGACTGCCCATGGCGCAAGATGACAAACCGTGTTTGACAATCGCCACCATCACTGTAGCAACAATGAATATCCCCCCTCTCATTGAAATATTTGACAAAAGGTTCAAATTCATTCTTGGATTTAACGACGTCTTCCGCAGTGACAACATCTTCCAATTCTGAGATCGTTATTATTGGAGACAATCTTGGCATCACTTTTGAAAATTTAAGCCATTTGATTACAGTTGTCTGTCTCTTTAAAACTGCTATTCCCGCAACTCGCTTCCTGAGATGCATTCCCCCTGCGTCCCTCTTGCACTGTCCCGAATTCTCCACTTCAAATATCAAGGTCTTCTCATTCCAGGAAATGTATTGATCGATACCCTCTTGTTCCAAAAATTGTGACAATTCTAGAGAGATTTGGTATCTGACCTCCTTATCCACACTGTCCCTGTGTGTCCCAACAATGAAGATAGGTCTGTGATTTTTGTAATTTTTGTCATCAAGCAAACATATATGGGCCAACACGCAGTTCAACCAATACCGAAGCTTCTTGATTTGCACGCACAGTTGGTTGCCGTCTTTTAGTCCTTTTGCTTCTTCAAAGTTAAATACAATGATGTATACAGCGTCCTTTGGTATGAATAAATGATGGAAATAATGATATTCTTCTTGTCCTCCACAGTCAATTAACACAAACTTAATACGCATGCCTGATACACCATTCTCGTATTTTGATTTTGCCATTCTTATTTTGGTTAAATCAATTCCCTTTGCCATTGTTTGTTTCACCTGCCAAAAGCCCCACATCTCGTATGCGAGAACAATACCAACAGACAACACCTGATCTAAAATAAATTCACCAGGAGGAATAGCGACCGTCCAGTTCATAAAATAGACCATTGTGACACCTAGAATAAAGCCCAGTGCCCTTCGTATATAGAAAGGCAAATCGTACACTTTTGCCAGAGGCCGTCCAATGACCATTATTGCCGTGTATTCTAGCATAGCACTGCTACAGCAAGCCACGAGGATAATCACATAATGATGAAACTTCTTTTCCATATACCCTAAGATGAGACCACAGAAGAAAAAAGAACACAAGATTACTGCCATCATGTAAACGGACAGCCAAATATAAAACCGTTTACGCATCAGATTTGGGGAAGTGTTTTTGCATACGAAGACGCCAACAGCAGCCCCTGACCAAATGAAAATGACAACTGTTAGTTGCTCGCTGTTGAATACGTTGGAATACCTTTCTCCTTTTATCAATGGATATATGAGGGCAGTTCCGATGTTTGAAATGATGACTTGAAGACAAAATTTCTTGATGTTTATTTTGTCGTGGTATAATTTGCCATAAAAAACGTGCCATGAAATCAATGTGAGACTAACAATGAGAAACACTGTTAATGCCTGCTTAAAGTCTTTACTCCATTCATAGATTATATCAAACACAACTGAGAAAAATTTAAGAATACTGCCTTGACTTTTGAGGCAGACAAAGCTGAAAACCAATGAGGTTCCTGCCCTACACCCAAATCCTAACACGAACCCTCCTATCAACCCGCAACAAAGAACACGAAGTTGGAATGCTAAGAACAAGTCTGGGCTGTCCATTCTCTGTTGCATATTTCTGTCAGCGTATAGAAATTCGATACAGGCATATCTGTAAAATACACTGAGAGCCGTACCCTCGCCATATCTTATGCCCATGGGCAGGTTGCCAGAAAAAAAGATTGTAGAAAATAAGCAGCCTATAATTTTCAAAGAACATAACCCAACGGGAAAGAGAGCAAAAGCAACACACACGCATAGCAATCCAATTGTAAGTTTGAAATGCTGATCAAATGATTTACCATGTACCACTGTTTGAGATTCTGAAGCAGAATTATCAGTAATTTTTACTGCTGCGTAACTAGCTGCATATTGCTGTTCGTTTTCAGGGTCCTTAACATCTTCCCAAGTGTCCGTTACGGCGGCAGTTTCCACGTGGTGTTTTTCATTTCCCCGAGTGCTATTGTGATTTTCAACGAATTCTTTTTCTCGGAAATAGCGTTGCAGAGACGTTTTTCCTACACCAGAATCACCCAGGAATACTATTTTACTTGTTTCCAAATCAATATGTCCCTCTTCAATACTTTTTTCATATGTTTGACGCATACTAGCACTTGCCCCAATCATCCTCCTGCTTAAAGTCCCAGTACTTGCACCCCATTGTCTGAACACGTCTTCTTCCTGTTTTTCTTTTTCCATTATTTTGTAAGTCAAAGATCGTCAAATAGATGGTATACGACTACATCGTGAAGCAAATCCTTATGCTTTCACTTCTGCTAACCTTTGTAAAACCCTGTTCTTCATTTTTAATTCAAACAAAACAACGACATAGCATACAACAATGTTGAACATTTACAACATTCTTGTTCCTTCCTTCTCCTTCCCAGGAAGGTGTTGCTCCAGTAACGACGACCGATAGTTCAGACATTTTTTGTATGACCTGTAGGGTTGTTGTCAACAGTCCTACAAAAAAGCGGATATACACACGTACAGGTGTATTAGTGTTTCCCCATGAAAATGCATCAAAATTTAGTTAAGTTTAAAACAATAATCTCAAAAGCTACCGTTTGCAGTTTCTACCGCCATGCCACTAGAGATGTCTGTTTTAGCAGAAGCCTTAAGCTGTCAATCACATAGAAAATACGCATGATTGACCTCAGCGGTTTGTTGAACGACGAAATGTCCTCAAATATTGTTGACGAAGGCGTGTGATGTAAGTCTGGAAATGAGCGGCAACAAATGACAGTGATGTTTTAGATATCTCTCTCGTTTATCAGGCAGCCTTAAAATATAGATCAGATGTTACTAAATCTGAATAAGAAACACCTACTCCAATTTGCTGTGCGACGCCATTTTTTGACGCCTCTTTATGTTACCTGTTCAAATATCGGTCCAAAATACTGGGCCATTCTTACATTTTCCCTATTCACGCTGCTACAACAACCCCTGGTGCATAACCTGGATATAATATAGACCAACAGTTTTAAAGTTCAAAAATAAACACAACACATTTAACTGGGTCGTACAAACATTTTCCCTGTTCACGCTGCCACAGAGACCTCTGGTGCACAACCTGGATATACATGTATCTACATACTTCTCAAAGGAGAAGGACTTGGTTATCGCCCTGGCGAGAAATAACCAAGGCTATGTAGAGGACTGTTGGAGGGAACTGCTTTTTTCATGATTTTATTTCATATTTTGGTCCCTGTGTAGTATAGTGGACTCTCAGCGTTGGGAATGAAGTCCAAACATACAGTAGCTCCATTTTTTGTTCTTCTTCTCTTCCTCTTTCAGTATTGTATATTATATGTTTTACACTCATTTTATTCATTCACATATGTTTTGTCACAATTCATGTTAACTCTGCACTCTCTCTCTCTCTCTCTCTCTCTCTCTCTCTCTCTCTCTCTCTCTCACACACACACACACACACACACACACACACACACACACAGTTTAAAAGTAAAAAAAAAAACAAAAAAGAGCACTTATACAAACATTTTCCCTATTCACACTACCACAAAGCCATGCGGTGCACAACCTGGATATTACACACCGTTAAAAGGAGAAGGCCTAGCTTAATATTCCTGGCTGAAAAAAACCTAGGGCTATGAAGAGAACTGTTGGAGGAACTGTTTTTTTCATGATTTCATTTCATATATATATTTTGGTCCCTGTGTATTATAGTGGGCTGTCAGCGGTGGGAATGAAGCTCAAACATAGCTCCATTTTTTGCTTCTTAATTCTCTTCCTCTTTAAATCCTGATTATCATTTGTTTTACTTTCATTTTATTCATTCACAGATGTTTTGTCACAATTTTATATTAACTATACACGCAAACACATATGCACGCACTCAGAGTTTATTAGTTGAAAAATAAAGTCATCTGCACAACAAAGATATCGATGACACCGGTCGACAAAGTGTAACAGGAGTGGTAGTTAAAAAATGAATGTCCGTGGCCTCACATGATTAGCACAGGTTATGGTTAGTCGTATCAGTAGTAGTATATGGGCTGAAGTAATGGGAAACGGACTCTGGTTCCTTAAGGACTCCTGTTCTTGTCACATACGCTCCACATCTAACAGCCAGCAATGTGTTAGTTGTGCTAAATGTGTTCCTCATAACCTCCTGGAAGAGACTTTTCATCAGGTTCAATTGATTACAACATAACTTTTTTATTTATAGGCATTAAAATAACAAAACGTCCTATTACGATCATATAATATTACTGCTGAAAGTGACTGATATTGAAAGAAATATATTGGACTTTTTTCAGAATTATTAGTACTTTTCCTGTTTTTCTTTTTCCATTATGTTGAAGGTCAAAGATCTTCAAATAGAAAGTGAAGCAAAACCTTATTCTTTCACTTGTCAGCAGCATAGGGAAAAAATAATGATGAGTCTAAGGTTAAGATTTTTGTTCTTCAGTTTTTCGTCATTTTCTGTAAACTATACGTAAAAGGACTGGTGTTGAAATTAATTTAATATCGTTGTTAAAAACAGGATGCAAGTTTACACAATGAGAGACTAATAGATCAGTAGATCAAATATGATCCTCCTGCTTTAAGTCCCAGAACTTGCAGCTCATCGCCTGAACATGTGTTATTCCTGGTTTTCTTTTCCATTTGGTTGATAGTTTTTTTAATTAAAATTTATTCACCAATTTAGAGCATGTACCAGTTAAAATAAAACATAATGATGGTAAAAATGCCTTGATATAAGTTCTTTCATTTCTAAATTTATATAGAAGAATGATATTCTTAGCAACCTTTATCTTTATTTATATATTTGTTGATAAATATATGTTCCCTTTTTTTCCTCTCTACTATGTTTTTCACGGTTTATAAATTTCTATATTTTTGAAATCTACAAAGAAGTGAAAATATCATCCTGTACAGAAGTTCTGAAATCTTACATTTCTTTAAGTATTTCCCTGTTGGATAAATTTATTGCAAAATTTTCCACCGCGCTGCTCTTATTACAGATTGAGTACATGCCAAAAATACATGTATGTCATTCCACACTACACTTGGTACTCTTTCATTAAGGAATATAATATTTTCTAATTTATTCAAAACAGGTTTTCTCTGGAAGTGATATCTTTAGTTGAATTCTTTAAACGGTTAACTTAGACTGCATTCCCACATATTTTCAGATCGATCTATCCCCGTGGGGAGTCTCACTAGATTGCTGTCGGCTTAGCCGGCTTAAATGTCTGTTCCGCCTACTAAAAGCTGTAAGGGGGTAATTAACTTTTGTGTGCGCTCGACTGACAGCAATTTAGCGTGAACCCCCAGGGAGTTAGGTCGATCCAGATGGATCGATTTAAATCTGTGGGAATGCAGTCTTACACTCTCCAGATTTACCATAGTCCTCAATTAACTGATGAGTAATGCAATTTCTTAAAACTTGATATTCCACAAAGGTAATTCCATTCCACCCAACCACCTATGAAATATCTTCATAAGTAAAAAGTCTATTTTCTCTAACTAAATCTCTTATATAAATAATTCCATTTTTTATCCAACGAGTAATAAAGGTAAATTATCCCCTATGATATGGGTATTGTTCCACAAAATAGATTCATCTCTACAATAGCTGTGCCCTATCCATAACTTCAGAGTTTGTTGATAAAACTCATGTTATGTTGATAGTTAATGATCGTCAAGTAGATGACATATGACTACGTAGTGAAGCGAAACTTTACTTCACTTGTGGTAGAGATTGTCAGTAGTAAAAGTCTATGGTTGATATGGTTTGATATCAGATTTCTGTCCTTCAGCTTCTTTTTTCAACTCTTTACAGCCTTCTTAGAATTGTTTTGCTCACACAAAAAGAACGTTAGCTCAGATAAATTTCAGATTGTTGTTTAACACAGGATCTGCGGATCAAATATGGCCGATCCACTTGAACATGTGTCGCGCTCGTCTGCAAATTACTTGGATCTGCATAGTTCAATTGAGCGATAGCAGTTTTTTTTATCAAAGGATATAAATGTCAAAATTATAGCGGTTCTAATATCGCAACAATTCTTGCCGCAGTTAATGCTATTCACACAGTACACAGTTTAATACATTTTACATCTAAGAATCTTGTGTTAGTTGGGAAGAGTGGATGTGGTCCGACTTTTATCTGGTTTTAATTGTTTAAAACACCCCTTTCCATTTTAGTGGAATACTAAATAACAAAGCTACTCACGCATCTGAAATAAAATCACTGTTGATATACAATATACAACCTGTCATTCAGGTCAGTTCTTTATCGTATCCTTTCGAGCCATCAATCTATCACAAATATCTATGTATCTTCTTCTCTTCAAGACAAGGGAAATAAACATTAATTTTGTAATTGAGATATCAAAATACTTTTCTTTTGAGATAAGCATTTCCCCCCTCAGATATTGTCAGCCGTTCCCACCGCCCTATCGTCTGCAGTTTCTGAAAATGGGTTCAACAGATCAGCGAGATGTGGGCGCTTTTCACGCAAAATGGTGCACAAGTGACGCATAGGCTTCTTTTCTGGAGAACATTTACGCAGACTTTTGAGTAATTCGTAGCACCTGTCTTTCCTATGGAGTGTATTTCGAATAACATCCATGTCATCTATACCCAGAACCTTCTTTTCAAAAAGGTAGGACAAGATATCTATAGGCTCGAGGTCTTCTTCAATTTTTGTCCAATTTTCTCTTAGCTTCTCGAATTGTCTTTCAGTTTCCTGGGGCTTCTAAAATGAGATTTTCATTGTAATGGCAAACCAACATGTTTTGTAAAGCAATCACCTCATCTTTTTGTTAAAATTTCCACTCACTACTGTTTGTTATCAAAATGTGCTGCTTGTGGGATCGACAAAAATACAAATTATATTAATGTAATTGAATTGTAAACCATAATTGCTTACCTTGCCAAAGTGCAGGTAGATTTTCATCTTTAAGGTTGCATCACAGTTACAAACGGCAGGTGTTCCCTTAGGAATTTCATCAAATAACTCAAACCCAGATTTGCTGTCTCCCAGATGGCACATGTGAACGTGACCCTGCAGATAAAACAACAGTAATACACATCCTCCTATATCACTCTATCTATTGTTATCCTAATCTAATCAGCATTAGGAAAAGAGGCGATTGAATTTTAAACTATACCTCTGTCAATGACACTAATTTTTTCAAAGGCAAACATTTGATTGTACAATTAAAAATATGAGTTGTTTCCTCAATTATAGACCATGAAATCAAAATATAAGTAACAGGACTCGCTCACCTTTTCGTGCCAGTTGCAAGTGTGTACACCTTGTATCTGACAGACTAGTCCCACAGAATATTTCTGCCCAGGGAAAGATGTATTACAAATATAAGTAGTTACATCCGTACTATACGGGAGAAAAGAATTCCATTTTTTTCTTTTGTTATGTTACATCATTTGAACAATGAAAAACCTATACCGGACAATGGGGATGTTTACAAAATAAACAAACAATTTTTTTAATGTAAACAAACGAGACTCCCTATTTTTGTTTACGTTTCNTACTAATATAATTCAATTGTTTGTGAAGGTTAGCAAAGACCTCGTAAGTTTGTTGTTCTATGGCACCTGCTGGTAAATAAGGGTCTGCACCTGTAGTAAACAAAATCACGTTTTGTGTAATAATGGATTTCATCTCAAGTTTGTACTTGATTCCTGTGGATGGCTCTGTAAAGACGGCAAAATCAGAGAACACAGTTTGCCGAAAGTTTTTTTCCTTGAAATATTTGTCTCCGCTCATTTTTAACACAGTAGATGTAAGCCTCCAGAAAATTGGCTTTGGTTCAAATTCTCCAAAGTCCAAACCAAACGCAATTTCTTGACCTGGCGATAAATTCCAGAGTTTATGTCTGTCTTCTTGACTAGCACTTTGCAACTGAAATGGCACGAGATAGTACGGGCTGCAAGGGACCTTAACGATTAAGTGACTTTCTTCAAGAAGTTTACCACAAATGTCTTTTAATTGTTTTGTTTCTTCAAATGCCAGTGATTGGCACTCAGAAAGGGTCTCAATTCTATGGTTTAATGCTTGATCCATAGTACTTTCACTTAAGATGCCTATCTTCTTTTCTTTTCTCTCTATCATCTTTAGAATTTCCAAAAACAAGCCTACAAACCATGACTGTCCATGACGCAGGACGACGAACCCTGTTTGACAGTCGCCACCATCACTGTCGCAACAATGAATATCCCCCCTGTCGTTGAAGTATTTGACAAATTTTTTAAAGTCATTATCGTCTTTAACGACTCCTTTCTCAATGACAGCATTTTTCAGTTTTGAGATCTTTATAATTGGAGATAACTCTGGCATGATTTTCGAAAACTTCAGCCATTTGATCTCGGTTTTTTGTCTCCGTAGAACTGCGATTCCCGCCACTTGCTTTCTGAGATGCTTTCCCCCTACGTCCCTTTTGCACTGTCCCGAATTTTCTACTTCAAATATCAGGGAGTCCTTATTCCAGGAAATGTATTTGTCGATATCCTCTTGTTCAAAAGAATTTGTCAATTCCTGAGAAATCGTTTGTCTGACCTCCTTATCCACACTGTCCCTGTGTGTCCCAACAATGAAGATAGGCCTGTGAATTTTGTAATCTTCATCGGTATGGGCCAACACGAAGTTTAACCAGTAGCGAAGCTTTTTGAATTGTGCGCATAATTCGTTGCTGTCTTTAAGTCTTTTAGCTTCTTTAAAGTTAAATACAATGATGTATACAGCGTCCTTTGGTATGAATAAATGATGGAAATAATGATATTCTTCTTGTCCTCCACAGTCAATTAACACAAACTTAATACGCATACCTGAAACTCCATTCTCATATTTTGATTTTGCCAGTCTAATTTTGGTTAAATCAATACCCGTTGCCATTGCTTGTTTCACCTGCCAAAAGCCCCAAATCTCGAATGCAAGAATAATACCAACAGACAATAACTGATCTAAAAGGAATTCTCCAGGAAAAATAGCAATCGTCCAGTTCATAAAATAGACCATTGCAACACCAAGAATAAAGCCCAGTGCCCTACGTGTATAGAAAGGTATATCGTAAACTTTTGCCAGAGACCGGCCAATGACCATAACTGCCGTGTATTCTAGCATAGCACTGCTAAAACAAGCCAAGAAAAGAATAAGATAATGATGGAAATACTTTTCCGTATACCATAAAATGAGACGATAGAAAATATAAGTAAATGCGATAATTGCTATTATGTAAACGGGCAACCCAATGTAAAACCGTCTGGGCATTAGTTTAGGTGACATGTATTTGCAAACGTAGACGCCAACAGCAGCCCCTGTCCATGTGAAAATGGCAATTATCACTCGCTCGTGACTGTACATCTTTAAATACATTTCTTGTGTTAAAATTTGAAATAAGAGGGCAATTGCGACATTTGAAACAATGACTTGAGACCAAACTTTAATTAACATTTGCTTAATGTTTCGTTTCTCGTGGCATAATTTGGCATGAAACACATGACATGAAAACAATGTTAGGGTGACAATCAGAAAAACAGTTAGCGCATGATTAAAGTCATGGACCCATTCATAGAGCATATTTGAAATAATTGAGAAAAAATTAAGAATACTACCTTGACTTTCGAGGCAAACAAAGCTGAAAACCAATGAGGTTCCTGCCCTACAACCAAATCCTAACACAAACCCTATCACCAACCCGCAACAAAGAACACCAAGTTGGTATTCCAAAAATAAGTCTGGGCTGTCTATTTTCTGTTGCATATTGGTGTCAGCATATAGGATTTCGATACAGGCATATCTGTAAAACATACTGAGAGCAGTACCTTCACCATACCTGATACCCATGGGCAGGTTGCCAGAAAACACAAGTGTAGAGAAGAGGCACCCCATGATTTTCAAAGAGCACAACCCAACGGGAGAGAAAGTGAAAGCAACACATATACAGAGCAATCCAAATACAAGTTTGACATGTTGATCAAACGATGATCCGTGATCAACTGCTTGAGAAACAAAATTATCAGTCATTTGCACTGTAACGTAACTTGCTGCATATTGCTGTTCATTTTCAGGGTCCTTAACATCTTCCCAAGTGTCCGTTAAGGTAACGGTTTCCACGTGGTGCTTTTCATTTCCTCGAGTAGTATTGTGACTTTTTACGAAATCTTTTCCTCTGAAATGGCGTTGCAGGGATGTCTTTCCTACACCAGAATCTCCCAGGAATAATATTTTACTCGTTTCCAAATCAATTTGCCCCTCTTGCATGCTCCTTTCATATTTGTGACGCAGATCGGCACTTGCCCCAATGATCCTCCTGCTTAACGTCCCAGTACTTGCCCCCCATGTTCTGAGCATGTCGATTTGCTGTACTTCGTTTTCGTTCTCCATTCTGGTGTTAATCAAACATTGCTTCATAGATGCACATGACTACGGAATTGAGAAACTGTCAAACGTGACCAAAACGATTGATGTGATGTGAGTTTTTCCAATATGTTTAGTTTGAAGACATAGAATAAAACAATTTGGAACTTTTACAAAAAATCGTGTTTTCCCCACAACAGCAATGACCGTTTGTTAAAGTTTTTTAAGGTATGATCCGTGGGGTTGTTGTCATCAGTCCAAAAAAACGACAACGCTTTCCATAGTTGCCATGTGTACATTTGTCTGTGAAATGCATCAAATTAAGATATATCTAAAAAGCAATACTCCTAAACTATTCCGTTTCTTACTTTTAATTCCACCAATACCACAAGACGTGTCTGTTTCGTCAACGGTCTTTAGCTATCCTGATCTGAATTCAAAGATGTATTACTGACCTCAGCAGTTTGTTGAAATGCAGTCACGTCCTCAAATATTGTCGACGAAGACGTGAGCTTTCAAGAGAAAATGAACAGTATTAAATGGCGGTGATGTTTTGGCTTCCGCTATTGTTATTCAAGCAGCTTGGAAGTCTAGATCAATCTCTTTTTTTTTTTTTTTTTTTTTTTTTTTTTTTGAAAAGAACCACTCTTTGCAATCTGCTGTTCGACGCCGTTTTTGTGCCATTGTTACGTGTTCAAATATCAATTTGATTCACAACACTGTTACTGGGTCATGCAAACATTTCCCCTATTCACACTGCCACAAAGACCTGTGGTGCACAACCTGGATACAAAAGGAGAAGTATTTGGTTAATAAGTCTGTCGATAAAGGGCTAGGTCTATGTTGGAGCCTGTTGGAGGGAACGTTTTTTTATGTTTTCATTTCATATTTTGTTCCCGGTGTAGCGACCTCTCGGCGGTGGACCTGAGGTTCCAGCATAGTTTCTCCATTTTTTGCTTCTTATCTTCCTCTTGAAAAATTCATTTTTTTTACTTTGTTTTATTTGTTCACATATATTTTGTCATAATTATATGTTAACTATTTACACACACGCACGCGCGTGCACATATGCACACACAGACACACACACACACACACACATGCACAGAGGGAAGTAAAGATAGAGAGAGTTTAAAAGTTCAAAAATAGAGTTATCTGCATAACAAATATATTAATGAAACCGGTCACATATATTGATCATCGTGTCTTTGCAAGTGGACACATACAAGGTGTAACAGGAATGGTAGTTAAAAAACTGGATGTCTGGGGTCCCATTTGTTTAAGACAGGTTAAGGTTAGTCGTATCATCAGCACTATACGGGACGAATGCCACCTATATAAAATAATGGGGAACGGACTATATGGTTCCTAACGAACTCCTGTTCTTGTCACATACAATCCACATCTTACAGTCAGCATTGTGTTAGTTGTGATTAATGGATGTGTTCATCATAATGGATGTGTTCATCCTTTCACAAAGAAATCATCTTCTAATCATATAACATTACTGCTGAAACTGGCTGATATTAGCAGAAAATTATATTGGATTGTTTTCAGCATTACTAGTACTTAATGAAAAAGGCGTTCGTTTCATCATTAATGTTTCCTTTTAATGTACTTTTTCCTACATGTACTTTTTCAAGTTAAAAGAAAAAGAAATGCTGAGTTAAGATCGGCTGATTTTGTTATTGAGACTGGTTGACGACAACAACATGGTCATTACAGCAGTTATGACCGCACAATCAGTCTTAGCCTTGGCTAATTCGTGTACATTCCGCCACTTTGTGCAGAAGAGGAATGTGCATTTACTCTCTGTAGGTTTACGATCACTTTTGACTGATATTGTCAAGCAATTTCTCCACCGTGTCGTTTGCAGTTTTTGGAGATGGCTCCAACAGATCAGCGAGATGTGAATAATTTTTGTCACACAAAACGCTGCAAGAGTGACGTAAAGGACAACTTTAGGACAACATTTATACACTCATC